AGGGAAGGGAGGGAGGAAGGGAGAGAAAGAGAGAAAGTGAGAAATAGAGAAAGAGAGAGAGAGTGAAAGAGAGAGACAGAGAGAAAGAGCGAGAGATAGAGAAAGAAAGAAAGAGAGATAGAGAAATACAGAGCGAGAGAAAAAGAGAAGAAGGTGGAGGGGGGTGGGGTGGAGATGAAGAACTCGAGAGATCACAAGAAGAACGAAGATCCCCCAAACCCTTCAATTCACAGCCGCTTGTGTCGTTTCATCAGTCTAGCCTCGCATCAAATTAACACAAAAAACCACTACATCATAGAGGGATCAAGCCTTCAGCTGCACTAAGCCCTATGAGCTTTGCTACAAAACACAACTTTATTTGATTTCATTTCACAAATTAACCGCTTCCCACACTTCTCATTTTGCAGAATTAAAGTGATTGACAGAATAAAGAGGTTCTTTTCGGCAGATCTTTTGCGGTACACGCGATCATATTTTATTGCAATGTGACTGAGTATTGTGTGGCATTTTCGCCAAGGAAATTAAATTATTACTACTTTGTGTGTCTTGCTGCACTCTTCACAGGTGAGCAAAGTTACCACATAGCGAGTGGGCTCAATGAATGAGGACAACCAAATTAAATCTTTCTAAAAATCACAACACAAATATTAAATGTACTCGAAACAAAAATTATTAAACAACAATAGTATTATACCAAAATAGTTTAAATGCATGCAGTCAGGGAATAAATGAAGCAATCAGAAAAGGTAAATAATCAAGGAAATGAAAAAAAACCCAAAGTAAATGGTGTAATCTTTTTATAACCATAGCCTGCTTAACTGTAACCGCTGTTAAGATGCCAAAATTTGAAGGGTACTGTTCACCAACTACGTTTATTTCCAAGCGAGGCACGAAATAATGCTTGACACCTTTTGGGAGATCCACACAATCAACTTAATAATTACAACCAAATCGCCCACGTGTAGACGACAACCCTCAGACTAGCAAGCGCTGACTTTGATTAACAAATATAGATGTATTAATATTAAGTAAGCAAATTAACAAAGCACACATGAAAAAAAGCTTAAGGGGGGGGGGGCTACACCCCCAAAGTCAAAATTCGGCTAAAAATGATGGAATTTGAGTTGTAGGCATTTTTATTTCCTCAGCCTCTCCCACAACTATTTCATCCCATAAAAATAACCCCAAAACCGTATTTTTTCCCGTACCGGGCATGTTTATCCCCGCCATTTCCTCATAAAGTCAGTATTTTATTTTTATTTTTCGGCCGCTTTTTCAAAATGCGACTTTTTTCTATACTTTTTTTTAATAACTCCACCATTTTTCATCCAATCTTCATGAAATTTTCACAGAATGAAGAGAAGATAATACTAAAAATTTATCTGTTGAACTTTTGATATATAGAATAGATTTTTGTTAGTGGTGTCTGGAGTGTGGATTTTTACTGATTTTTTAAAAACTTGAGTGCTACCTCAAGAACAAATTCATTAAAAATTTTCTAATTCGTTTAGGAAAAAAAAAACAACAGACAAATTTTTAGATCTAATGTTTGTGAACACACATGCAAAAAAACATTCCATTTCCAAGAGCGGTAAGAGCGGTGTTCATCACGTAAGACATATCAACAAAATCCAATATGGCCGCCGTATCCATGGAAACGAAACTTTTTCTCAAATTTAATTGCGTATTTAAAGACCCCCTACTAAGCTTGTTACATGTGTGAAACTTGGTAAAATTCGGTTCTGTAATAAGCGAGATAGCCTTCAGGTGTAGCCTCCCCCCCCCCTTAAAAATCAGGACCTTTACTTCCTCCACAGAAATCTATCAACTTCAGAAAAAAGAACTCGCGGAAAAGCCTATATATATTATTGTAAACAATAAGTTTTATTTATGCGTCATCCATCAACTTCATTTATAAGTATTAAATTATACATATAT